TTCTGCGGAGGAGGAAACAAGGACAGGGCCTCCTGGACTCTGGCCCGACCACAGAGCCCAGATCGCTTTCTGCCGGTGGACAGACAGAGCGAACGTTTATGTTTAGATACCAAAGGGAAGAATCCCTATTTTCTAGGAGAAGGGGGAAAAGGATTATTTGGGTCTGACTGGTCTTGCTGCAGAAATTATGTTTAAAAATCCTTTTATACATAATTGCTTTGTATAAAAGGATTTCATTTTTTCTCATTATTTAATTTTTAAGATGGCTGGTTTTTTTTTTTTTTTTTTTTTTTTTTTTTTTTTTTTAGCTTTAGAATAGCATTCTCAGTTGGAAATTATGAGAACTCAAGATTAAGGAAGTGATAGGCACCCCCCACATGTCAGCTGCCTTTGCTCCCAGCCCTGTGTGGAGGACTTGAGGCTGCCTCTGAGTCCTCAGCGCGGTGCTTTCTGATGGGTTTCTCACAGCTGCTGTGGGCAGGACAGTCTTCCTACCTGAAACCTCATGATGTCCATCATCTTTTTTAACCACAAGATTCCTTGACTCTAGGGCAAAGTCAGCAAAATGTAGCCCTCCAACAAGTTTTTATTTAAGTTTTGTTGAAATACGAAACTCCTTTCTGCACTCTTTTTGGCAGTTTTTTTTTTTTTTTTTAACTGCACAGTAGAGTTGAGTAATTGTGATAGAGATCATACAGTCCACAAGGCCTAAACTTTTTGCTATCTTGCCCTTTGTAGGTAGGTTTGTTGACTCTGTTGTAGGGTAAGTTAGGGCACTTAAAAAAAATATATATATATATATATATATGAAGAAAATATATTTAAAAATATATACACAGAAAGATAGAGGTAGAGGTACAGAGAGAGAGAGAGAGAGAAAGAGAGAGAGAGAGAGAGAGACGATAAAGGTGCTTGGCTTATGGCCACAATGTTTGTGATATAACTGTACAGGGCACTCAGAGTCCCCTGATTTACTCCCCTGAATGAATAACTTCAAATAGAACATTCAAGTTTGCTGCAGAAGAATTTATTTAATTTATGACAAAACTTTTGCACCAAGTTTTGCACTAAGATTGTAAACTGGGAGGTTGACAGAATTTGTTCTATATGCAATTTAGGGAGCTATCAAAGAAAGCGAGCTTTTATATCCGGGATGGGGAGTTTGGAAGATGCTGGTTCTTAGTGACATTCAGGTCCAACAAGTGAACAATGGTTTCAGTCTGCAGCAAAGCAGATGCGAATGGAGGAGTATGTCTTGTACGCTGAGTAACTACTTTGAAGATAACAACACAATGCCTTAACTGTTGATATTGTCTTATTATTTTGTTATGAATATTTTATAAAATAAAGAAACGATCTCATGGGAAGATGCTTGTGCAGGATTGGGGGAGGGAGCAGAAGGAGGCAGGCCTTGGACGATGGTGGCGGTCTGGTTCCCGGAAAGAGACAGAGTGAAAGGAGGATTGGGTCGGAGGACATTCAGACTGCAGGACAGCTCCCGGAAAACATCCACAAGGCTGAGAGGAGGATGCCACGTGCTGTCACTGTGCTCAGCCATTGACCAGGAGCAGTGTGGCAAAGTGTGGCAGTGGCAGGAGTGCCATGGTGGGACTGAAGTGCCAGCACTGAGGGATGGTCATCAGCTCTGCTGTGCAGCATTCACTCTTGAAGGGGTCTTGGGCTCTGATCCCCCTATGTGGATAGGATCGGAGGCTACAGAGATCTTAGGACTTGTTCCAGTCTCCAAGGAACTCATGGTCCAGCTGGGAAGACTGGATATGCACACTTGAATAAACAAATATGTGCTCACAGATGGCACGGGCCATAAAGAAGGGGAGGCTGACAGAGCAGTCTGAGATTGTTGGGAACACTGTATGCTGGGGGCTTAACGAGGGACTCCGAGGGGAAAGCTTAGGATGTTCCCATCTGGCATTCAGGTAGGTGTGTGTGCGCAGTGTTCTGCCTCATTTTGGTAGTTCAAGTGCCCACGAGTTGCTCCATCCAATTTGTCATTCATTAATTACCTCCCTAGTGTAAGTCTCCATGCCAAGTGAGGTGATTGTATTAGTGAGTTCCTGGCTTGTAGACACTGATGACTCATTTTAGGAAGACAAATCTGTAGAGATTCGTGTGTGGTTTTATAGGACTCTTAATGACTAGAATTCTGCTAATATCCAGGTGAGGCACAAACAATGGATAAAGCCATTCATTAAACAACCACCATTAAGCTCTGCAATGCATGAATGCTTTTATGCCTGTTCATTATGGGAAAAATAGAAAAAACAGGTAGAAACCATACTAAAATATAGAATAATGAGTCATATAATGGACTCTCAATATGTCCATCTTCCAGCTTTAATAATTATTTCATGACAAATTTTGTTTCGTCTTTACCTTCACCCATGTCTCTCCTCTTATATTATGTCAAAGCAAATCTTCAGACATATAATTTCACCGGTGAATATTGTGTTTTTGAAGAATAGATACTATTTCTTTTAAGATATTCTCTATCTGATGCTCACATATTTCTCCTTCCCGAGCCTCATTTTCTTACCTATAAAATTCTCACAATGGTGTGTATTCTTTAGGGTTCTTAGCTACATTTTATGTAAAATGAGTACCTAGCCGTAGGTGTATTCCCTATTATGGATGTAACACATGAAAGAAACTAAATCAGAAGGGCCTGGAAATCTGAAATTCAGCAGGATGTTGAAACGATTCCAATACAGGTAGGGCCTGGATCACATGCCGAGAATCTGTTCTAGGGCCTGTAATTATTTGAGGAAACGCTCTAATGTTTTAACACCCTGGGCTCTTCAAGTCTTAAAGTCAAAATGATTTTAAATTTTAATGTCCATCTGAATTCCTTGGGGCGTGGGAAGCTCCTGCTGAAATGTGGGTTCCTGGTTTCTGTCCCTAAGGCTTTTGTGGGGGAGTCCCTGGGAGCCTGTGTTTATGAAACACTTAGAGACTTCTGTTGCAGGAGCCCTATGATTATGCTCTGATGATTCTAGACTGGGAGAGCAAGAGGGACAAACCAATAAGTCCCCTGGACGGAAGGCTGGCTCTTGTAGTACATGCAGAACCTTTGTACTGTGTGAGTTAGTAAGCACCTATCTGGGTATGTGTATTTTGTTCACATTAGAGGGCATGAACTATAGCTCGTGGGCTGAATTTATCTTGCAAATCCATGTGGGGTTTTTGACTTGACAATAATTTCTTTGAACAGCTGCCAAATTTAAACAAAATGATGGTTTTACAACTAATCCGTAGTTCCAGCCTCCCTTGAAGTTAAAATGATCTTACCACTTTAGGGCTCTATCAGGGCAATCTTTGGCTGGAGGTGGTAGATGCTCCATTTGTCTCCAGTCGCCAGCACCCCCTCTTAGCCGCTGTCAGGCTCAGCTGTTACTGTACATTGATATTAGAAGAGCCCCGTGATGGTGAATTTTCTCACTCATTTTGTTTCCTTATTTTCCTGCCCTGGGTTTGTGGATTTGTAAAAGAAAGAAAAGATTTGTACACGGATGTCCTAGCATCATTATTGACAGTAGCAAAAGAGCCTAACTTACTCAAATATTTGCCAGTTGGTGGGTGGGTAATCCAATTGTGGTGCCTCCACACAATGGAATATTATTCAGCAATAAAAGGGAAGAAATAGACCTTGAGAATATTATGCTAAGTGAAAGAAGCCAGTCACTGGCATTAAATGTTCAGAATAGATAAATCAATAGAGACACAAATAGCTTGGCGGTTGCCTAGGGCTGGACCAGGCTTTTCTGAGGGGTGGGTAGGGAGAATACTTTTCTTAATATTTTCTAGAAGTACTCTAAAATTGACTCTGCTAACAGCTACACAACTCTGTAAGTATACCAGGAATCACTGAATTTTCCAGTATGAAAGTTATATCCCAATGGGGCTATTATAATCTTTAAGATGGAGCCACATTGATTTTTTACCCCCTTTTATGCTCAGTATTAGCCCTGTGGAGCGTTCCCTGGAACAGGGAAGGGCTCTGACTTGGTCCGCTGTCTGTCCACTGCTATGGAGCTTTTTCTTATTTTCTTTGGACAGATTCACTCCCTTCGGGGCAAGCCCCCTCCATGGCCCTGCTGTTGGTTCTGAGGACCTCTTTAATTAACTCCCCTCTACCACACTGTGATATCTTTCATGAGGGCAGGGAGCTGTATCAAGTTTGGAACACTTTCGTGCCTCTAGAACATATTCTGTAATGTAGGAGATGTGACAAAAGTGTGTGTTAAAGGAATTATGTAGTCCATGATAGAAAGGACCCCCTTAAGTTTCTTTAAATATTGAGTTGTAATATAGTGAGATCATGTAAGGGTTTTCTGACATTTTCTCAGGGCCGGTATGAGCCTGCTCAAAAGCAGGGGCAGTTCTTCTGTATTTACCCTTTGAGCAACTCAGCCAGGTCATGGGGCTAGCAAATGCAGGACCGTTATCCACCTGCAGGTCCCAGAACCCGCCCTCTTTGCAATACCTCTTCTGGCATCAAGGAGGAATGAAAACTTCAGAAAGGAAGGATGGCTAGAAAGGATAGAGAGATAGAAAAGTGCAGAGTTACTACAGTGATCTCCACAAAGAAGAAACAGAATGGAAAACGTTTCCACCACAGGAGGGCAAGTCCCTGGGGTCCCCTCAGAGTCACACTCTGAGCCGCACCTCTGGTGTCAAACATGCTCGTTCCTGGTGACTCTAGCACCAGTCTGCTGCACCAAAGCCTTGCTTCCCGGCAGCCCCGAGAGAGAGAAAGCTCTCTTGACCCCTTTAGAGGAAGCCAAGCTGGGAGCCTGCAGCCACCCGTGACCACTCAGGATGCTGCGCTGCAGTCCCGAGGCAGACGCCTCTCAGACAATGAGGTTCCCTTCCAGTTAGAAAATCCCCATCAGCCAGTGCCAAGAAGACGCCACCCCCTGCATCATTAAATTGTAACAAGCCCTGGAACTCACTCCAGGAGCCCTGCCTGCCTGTCCTCACAGTTGGCAGGAAGCATGCGATTGGCTGACCAGGCTCAGCCTAGCAGGCCTTATCGCCAGCTGGTTATTATTTGATGAAAGAGCCTTCCTCCTGCCTTGGTGTTTCAAAACCGTGCTGAGAGTCTTTGTGGTTGTCGGTGTGCTGTCTCTGAGGTTCCTGCAGAGCACCTCGAGTCCTATATCTCCTGGCCTACAAACAAGCACACAGAAGAGCTTCTTACTCAGCCACAGCCTGGCACTGTCTTCTCCAGAATCTTGATCAGCTATGCTAATCCACTGATTGGGAATAATTCCCCCAACGCCAGCCAGTCAAGGATACAGGTATTTAAAAAACCAGGGGGTGGTGAGGAGCCAATTTCTCAGAATATATTCTCTGATATAGATGGGACATCAGATGTGGAGGTGGGATGGTGGGCTGGAGGCAAATGTAACATGGGAGAGGGAGACACAGGTGGGCCAGGGTCTCTAACATGAAGTGTTTGCAGCTTGGGAAATCTCTGAGGATGTTTGTGATATAGTTCTCACATCTGTTTGTATTTGCTCCCCATAAAGTTCCTCTTGAGATCTAGCTACTTTTTTGGCCTCCCTATAATCCCTTATCCTGGCTCACAACTCTAAACCCCCGAGAAGGTTTAGAGTGCTTATTAAAAATCTGATTACTTTAGCTTGAAATGCCATTACATATGATTGGTCGATGGAACATGGTTTTCAAAAGCTCTGCTGAGTGGTACGCACAAGTCCTTGCACTTGCCCTCGTGATGCTGGCTACAGACAATGGAAGAGTCAAGCCAAGCACCTCTGAATGTGGTCTCCACTGTGCCTGAGGTCTGCGTTGTGCAGGGGTTGCTTTCTCCCTGTCTATCCCCTGTTCAGTTGTGCTTTCTGAATTTGGGTTGGGAAGGGAGCTTCGTGTCCAAGGACTTCCTCCTACAGATTCAAGCTGGGCTCCAGGTATGTAACCAGCTGGAATAAAGATGAAAGACAGATAAAAGAAGTCACTTTGTGTTGAGTTCAGCTGGATGTGGCTGAGAAAGAAAGGTTGCAATATAAAAATGAGAAACAATTTTATTTTGTGTCATTGGGAAAAGTGCTTTTGGGATACTTTCATAATCTTTTTTTTTTTTGTCTTTTTTGTTTTTATCGGTACCAGGGATCGAACTCATGACTGCCTACTTGCAAGGCAGGCGCTTATGCCGCTGAGCTAAACCCCCAGCTCCTACTTTCATAATCTTAAACTGTATTTCTTCCTGTACATTATAGGTCAGTAAAGAACCAGGCCACAGCATTTTCCTTCCCCAGCCTTTACTCCCAAGTGCTCCCGTCACAACTTCTTAGTTCTCAGGCATGTGGATACAGGTCATCTCTACTCTGTTAGCTCTGGTGGCAGGGGCTGTAGCTTGATTCTATGTGGCTGTCCACAGATAGAAGATTCTTCTCTCTACTCTCTACTCTGCAGATTCCCAGGGAGCTTCTCTACGGAGCCACTGGCTTTCTTGGGAATGCTCAGAGTCCCTGGTGTGAGAAGTTCATCAGAGTGAATACTACTCCCCTTCATAATTTATGGGACACGTTGCAATGCAGAGGGCATTGGGAAATCTCTGCTGAGTTTTCTCACGATAGAAAGCTGAGTTTTCTCTGCCCTTTTGAAAGCAGTGCTTCCCTTTGCCGTTCTTTGGATGGCCTGGATCCTGCTGGCCTCTCTGACCTTTTCCATCACCTTTCTCCATCTGTCTCACCATATGGATAGTCTTCTGGTTCTTTGTATCCGCTGTCATCAAATACTAATCTATTTTATCCTTTTTTCTTAGTGTATTCGCCTTTTCCCTGCCCTCAGCACCTAGGTCGGGCCAGGTAAATCTCATTTTGCTATAAGGTTAAGAACCTTATAGCAGACTCCCTTGACTGGACCTCTGCCATGTTGTCTTATGACTGGTAGTTTCTGCTTCACTGCCTGTGCTAGACGGGGAATTCTGGGGAAGTGTGGAGCCAACATGTTAGCCAGATCCCACAGTGTCTGGTGTGCAGTAGGCTTGTACCGATCATATGAGCTAATGCTGATGGAGGGCCTGCTATGTGCTAGCACTTTTCTAAGTGCTTTACACTAACCAATGTAATCCCCAAAACTAGCCGGGGAGGCAGGTGCCAGCCATGTAATGTATGAACAAACTGCAAGTTAAGAAAAATATATATATTAGAACAGTAAATGAAGCCCATGCTTTTGCTCCATGGGGCAGCTTGGGGTGAATGAATTAATATAAACTTGAGTGAATGGTAGCAGGCTAGTGATAGGATCATGGTAACATGCCCGTGTGCTCTGTCTGACCTGTTTATACAGCTGAGCCCATCAGCACCAGCCATGTACCCGGCTGTGAGCTCGGATGTGATGCAAAGTGGGTACAGATGCAGAACTGACATGCTTTTGGTTTTGAATTTTCTTCTCCATCTGTTCTGGTTTCCTCATCCCCTTCCATTTGCCCTTATAGCCAAGTTTCACCACTCATAATCTCTCCTGAAGACTGAGAGGGCCTTCAGCTGTGGCCTTAAAGGATCCACTTCATGTAACGTACCCAGATGCTCATTGTCTTGGGTGCTGTGCTGCCAAATCTCCTTTATCCTCCTTCAGATGTAGAGGGGTTGGCACCACCTTATAGATCAGTGGTGGCGAACCTCTAAATTATAACCAACAGCTGGCTGCAGTAGGGTGCCATAGGTTTGCCACTCCTGCTTTAGATATACAAAGAGTACAGAGCAGAAGTCACTTGCCCAAGCTGCTAACTGCTAGAGCTGAAACTGAGTGTCACACGGCCAGGTCTCAAAGCCAGGGCCTTTTTCATATGATGAGGATATTTCCTAGACTAGTGGTGGCAAAATTTTTAGAGATGAGTGGTCAAATCGCAACCTAAAACCCACTTACTTATCACAAAGCACCGACCCTGCAAATTAAATCTGAATACTGAGGTTTTAGTTGAGGAAAAAACAACTCATACATTAACACCTTTTGTCTTAAAAGAAAAATAAACAACATAGGTGCCATGAGTTTTCTCTCTAGTCTTTAGTTTTGGGCTTACTGTATACCAGTGACTAGCTCCCTCGAAGGTTCCTGTTGGAAGATATCCAGCTCCTTCTTCTGCCTCCCTAGTCACTGACTAGGGATTCCCTGCTCTCAGTGGCCTCTGGCATCTTTTTCTAGTCTATATCTCAGAGCTGGCACTTGCTGTGCTTGGTGGGGCCCGTGGGCCCATGCTTGCGCCCGGCTTGTTCAGGCTGTATACCTGCCTGGAATTCTTCTCTGTGCTGTCTTCAGTCCCCAAGGAGGCCATTTCCCTCTCCTCCTCTCTCAGGGGATGATCTTAGGGAACTTAGTTCTAGAACACCACATTTACAAGAGCCTAAACTAAAACCCTCAGCATAAGGGACTTTCATCAATGTCTTGATCTTTTGTTAGAAATATAGTGGAGTATGAAGCTGAATCTTGCAACAAATCTTCTATAAAATGGGCCAAATACTTTTCTCCTAGGCTGCCTTTGAGAATGGAGATTCTGTACCTACTGTGAGTGACAGGCACTGGGGACAGAGTGGAGAGGAAGGCAGAGAAACCACCTGCCCCGGTGGAAGTTACTGCTGAAACGGCGCAGAAGGCATTAAACAGCTCACATGAATACATAGACCACCCCCTTCTGTGATGAGAAAAAGCACAAAAGCTGATTCAGATGGGACAGGAGCCAGCACAGTAAATGTTCTTTGGAGAACCGATAGCACTGAGCGTCCTGTACCTCTGGGCCATGGCCCAGAATACAGCAGGTCTAAGCCCCCCCACTCCCCGCCCCCCCACCCCCCCAACATGGCCAAGGCTCTCTCCCTTCTCTGGGGTCAGAATCTGTGAGAAAAAAATCAGACAGTCCAGTGAATGATTCTTCAAGCCCATTGTCATGTGAGCCTCTTGATTCACAGTGAAGAGCAGAGCAAAAGGTTGCACATGAGACTCCCCCACTGTCCAGGGCACTCCCCCATTCCCACCTCCACAGATGGAGAGGGGGGTGCAGGAGGAAGTGCTGGCCTACTCTGTCTCCAGGATGCCTTTTGCTCTCCGCACTTCCTTCCTGCCTCCCCCACTGGAGAGCCCCCCACTGGAGAGCGACCCCTGCTTCCCTGGGCTAACTCTTCTCAGAAGTCCCCTTTGCAAGCACTCTTTTCTCCTGGTGCAGCTCTCTGTGTCTTTCCTCCTCAAATCCTGGATGGCAGCCTGGTGACTGACCTATTTGGGGCAGCCCAGAGTGGAGGATGGCTGGGATAAACAGGGATCTGGGGAGCTGGAGGAGGGCCCAGGGATCCCCAGCTGCCCAAGTATGTTCCCAGGGCTGCCCTCTAGGCCTGCTACCAGGAGCACTGTGTTCCCTGGAGCTGGGCACAGTGTTTTTGAAAGTGCCGAGGTCGGGCATTAATGACAGCTGCTTTAGAGCTGGTTAGCAATTTTTTTTTCAGACAAAGACAACAGCTCTGGGTATTTGTGGGAAGACTAAGACTGCAGATAGTGATGAAAGGAAACATTTAGTCTTGGGTCCCTGAAAGAATGGTGATGTCTGCATCTGTGTGTCCCACCTTGCCTGTGGGAGTCACTGTGCCCTTAATCTCCAAAGATAAATCAATTCTTTGTGTACCTGGGTCCCCACTCTTCACCTGTCTTTTAGTTGGTGTCTTCCTGCTGCTTTCTGAGTGCAGCTGTAGTGACCCCCCCCCCCCATGTTTCAGCATGTGATGCTCCAGGGGAGCACAAATCATGGGATGTGGGACTTGGATGGAGATTTCAGGGCACACAACTCTTCTCCACTTGAATTTTGGATTTGAAAACTCTCTTTTGGATGGGGGACTTGGAAAGGGCTGAGTGTTGTGGAAAGAATGGAGACGTTATGCCACAAAGCACCAGCACAAGAGCATTTCCACAGAGACTTTGAATAGCAAATGGTATCCCAAGGCAATCCCCTCAGCCACCTCAGAATAGGGAAATGACAGTGTAGTTGCTGTGGAAAGTGCATTATCACCATTCAATTCCGAGAGCCTGCAGCCTTGCTAATCCCACAAAGATGAGATCCAGTTCTCCAAGTGCTTGCAGCATTGGAGATGTGAGGTGCCCTAATGAAAACATTCCATCACCACTCCTGCGTCTCTCCAGCAGCAGTAGCAGCAGCTGCCAGGCTGCTCTCCCTACCCAGCCTCCTCCTCCTCCCCTCAGTGCCTGTGCCTAGGAAGGTTTGCATTTGGCCTCCTGTGGGGCTGGGGGAAGTGTGACTATGCATTGGGCTTCAACATCTTGCTAGAAACCA